GCAGCAACAACAGCAGCAGCAACAGCAGCAGCAACAGCAGCAGCAGCAGCAGCAGCTGCAACGAATTCGATCTGCAGCTGCAAGCAGTTTTAGCAGAAATTAAGGGAGTTGGTTGGGACTATGCAGCTGATGCTGCTTCCTCGCAGCAGCAGCAGCTGCAGCAGCAGCAGCAACTGCAGCAGCAGCAGCTGCAGCACGAGCAACAGCAGCAACAATCGATGCTGCAAATGTTGGGTGGCAGCAGCAACAACAGCAGCAGCAACAGCAGCAGCAATGAAAGAGCAGCAGCTCACCACCCTACATTTGATGTTCTTCCCCCTGTTGCGCCTGTACGTGCTGCAGCGCATGCATCTGCTGCTAATCTGCCAGGCAGCAGCAGCAGCAACAGCAGCAGCATCAACAGCAGCAGCACCAGCATGCAGGGCGGTGTATCACAACGGGGCACCAGTACTGCCGACCAAGGGAAAGGCTGTGCTGCAGCAGCAGCAGCAGCAACGTGGCTAGCTACTGAAGTAAGCAGCAGCAGCAACAGCAGCAGCAGCAACAGCAGCAGCAGCAACACGAGTTCCTGCTGCTGCACCTGCAGCTGCGGCAACAATCCTCCAGTACCGAGGCTCTCCCGCCGTCAACGGCGGCTTCTGCGGCAGCAGCAGCAGCAGGCAGAGGAGCAGCAGCAGCAGGCACAGCAGCAGCTGCAGCAGAAGCAGCAGCAGCAGCACAAGCACCTGAAGCAGCAGCAGCAGCAGCAGCAACAGCAACAGCAGCAACAGCATAGGCAGGAGCAGCAGCAGAAGCAGGTTAGTCAGGGCACCCTAAGGCAGCAGCACCGGGTGCAACGCAGCAGCACGAGTTGGGCTTCTGCTGCTGCTGACTGGAGTCAGCAGCAGCAGCAGCAACAGCATCACCAGCAGCAGCAACAGCAGCAACATCAGCAGCAGCAGCAGTTGTTGCTGCAGCAGCAGCAGCAGCACGTGGGTGTCTCCTATATACCAGGTGTACATACACCGCATGCACCCTGGCTGCTGCAGGGACACACAGGACAGCAGCACATCTTTGTGCATGCAGCAGGAACGCAGTCTATGACGCATCCTGCTGCTGCTGCAGCAACTGCAGCAGCAGCTGCAGCAGCAGCACCCGCTACAGCCCCCACTAAACTCGCTTGAGTTTGACTTCTTTTCCGCTCTGCAGCAGCAGCAGCAGCAGCAGTTGCTGCTGTTGCTGCTGCTGCTGCTGCAGCGACGTTTGTACTAACGGAGTACATCGAATAGTAGCAACGTGTTAAGCAGCAGCATAGACAGCCGTTAGCAGCAGCAGCAGCAGCAGCAGCAGCAGCAGCACGTATACGAGCAGCAGCAGCAGCAGTAGCGTAGTTCCGGTAGTACTCTCGTCAACACTGTAGCAGCAGCAACAGCAGCAGCAGCAGCAACAGCAACAACAGCAACAGCAGCAGCAGTACTAAGCATTAATTGCTGCAGTATATTAAGGAGGTGCATTTCTTTGCACATAAAGAAAAGTTATCTATTCAGGTGTACGTACACCCCACTGTGGTAAAGAGATACAGCAGCAGCAGCAGCAGCAGCAGCAACATATTTGTTGCTCCTGCTGCTGCTGCAGCAACAGTAACTAGCAGCAAGCGAACCACCGTCTCTGGTGCTCCTGCTGCTGCGTGTTGGGCTCTACAGTTCGAAGGGAAGACACGCAGCAGCAGCAGCAGAAGCAGCAGCAGCAGCAGCAGCAGCACCTGCTGTTGCTGCTGCTGCTGTAGGAAGACAAGCGGCTGATGTCTCAGCAGCAGCACCGCATGCAGTCGTTCGTTACAGAGCCGTTGCTGCTACACTTTGCTGCTGCTGTTGTTGTTGCTGCTGTTGCTGCTGCTGCATGCATGCATGCATGCATGCATATATTCCTCAAGCCCCTGTAGGGGGAACGGCGGTCAGTGTAGAGACAATTTTTGTCCTCTTTGTTGGCGGCTGTTGCGCTGCTGCTGCTGCTGCTGGGGCTGCTGCTGCAGCAGCAGCAGGAGTAGCAGGTGTTGCAGCAGTAGCATCAGTTGCCAAGATTCGTTTCCCTGCTGCAGCAGCAAACTGCATCTGCAGAGACTTTAGCTGCTGCTGCTGCTGCTGCGCGAATTCCTCTAATCTCTTAACAATATCAGCAGCAGGAAGCTGCAGCAGCTGCTGCGTTGTTGGTGCATGCGCATCTGTTACTGCAGCAGCAACTGCTGTCTCTGCTGCTGCTGCTGTTGCTGCTGCTGCTGCTGTCTCTCCTGCTGCTGCTGCTCCGTATATATCCACAAAAGACAGCTGATCACGAGAAGCAACTTCTGCCTTTGCTGCTGCTAGCCGCAGCAGCGGCAGCAGCGGGGCAAAGGCAGAAGCTTGCTGCCGCTTCTGCTGCTGCTGTTGCTGCTGCTGTTGCTGCTTCTCCTGCTGTTGTTGTTGTTGTTGCTGCTGCTGCTGCTGTTGCTGCTGCTCCTGCTGGTCCGGCCTTGTGCGAGTGTGCAGCAGGGGGGATACAGGATCCTCCTGCATGTCTGCTCCTGCAACTGCTGCTTCAACAGCAGGAGCAGCAGCAGCAGCAGCAACAGCAAGTCTTGAATCTGCTGCTGCAGTTACCTGCTGCATCTGCTTGATTAGGGCCTCCATAGATCCGCAGCCATAAGGCCATAGGGGCCCCCTTAGGGGAGCAAAGGCGGAGCAGCAAGCAGCAAGGTGCTCCCCTAGCTTCTGCTGCTCCCTGAGGTGTACATACACCACACACACAACAGCAGCAGCAGCAATATTAGCAGCAGCAGCAGCAGTAACAGCAGCAGCAGCAGCAGCAAGAGAGACAGATACACCACGATACTCAAGTATAACACATAACAACCAACAACATCAACAACCAGCAGCAACAGCAGCAGCAGAAGCAAGAGCAGCAGCAGCAGCAGCAGCAAGAGCAGCAGCAGCAGCAACAGCAGCATGCAAGTTACTTACGGGTCTTGGAGGGAGGAGCGAATGCCTTGGGCAGCAGGTCTTGCTGCTACTGCCCTAGATGCTACATTCTGCTGTTGCTGCTGCCGCTGCTGCTGCAGTTGCTGCTGCTGCTGTTGAGGTTGCCGAGGTGCCCCAGGTACCGCGGCAGCACGCTGCTGCTGCTGCGGCTGCTGCTGCTGCTGCTGCGTTCTGACGAGGGGTGCAGCAGGCTGCGGCTGAAGACCTGGCCGCTGTTTCTGCTGCTGCTGCAACTGCTGCAGTGGCGGCGGCGGTGGCTGCTGCTGCTGCTGCTGCTGCTGCTGCTGCGGCAGTCTCGGTGCTGGTCTGCCCGGTTGTTGCTGCTGCTTCACCACTGGGGGCACAGCCGTTTGTGGCCGCTGCTGCTGCTGCTGCTGCTGCTTAATCTGCTGCGGTTGAGCAGGTCGGGGGAGCTGCTGCTGCTGCTGCTGCTGCTGCAGTGGTGCTGCTGCTGCTACGCCAGCAGCAGGTGCAGCAGCAGGGAGGGAAGAGGATGCTGCTGTATTGCGAACTGCTGGTTTCTTGAGTTGCATCTGCTGCTGCTGCAGTTGCTGCTGCTTCTGCTGCAGTTGCTGCTGTGGTTGATGCAGCACCTGCTGCTGCTGCTGCTGTGGATGGAGCCGTGCTGCTGCTGCTGCTGCTGGAGGAGCAGGAGGAGGTGCTGCAGGAGCGGAGTGCGATACAGGGACAGCAGCAACTGTTTTTGTTGCTGTTGCTGCTGCTGCTGCTTTAGGCACATGACCTCTCCTAGCTACAGCTGCTGCTGGAGCTGCTGCTGCTGCTGCTGCAACAGGAGGTGCTGCACGGTTTGCTGCTGCTGCAGGCGGTGCAGGCGTTGGGCGCGCTGCTGCTGCTGGTGCTGCTGCTGCAGGTGCTGGACGGGACGCTACTGCTCCTGGAGCAGCAGCAGCAGCAGCAGCAGCAGCAGGTGGTGCTGGAACAGCAGCAGCAGCAGGTGGTGCAGGAACAGCAGCAGCAGCAGGTGGTGGTGCTGCTGCTGCCTTAGGAGCAGCACGAACAGGAGCAGCAGCCTTAGGTTTAATAGCTTGCTGCTGCACCGGAGGAACAGCTGCTGCTCCTGGCTGCACCGGCAGCTGTCGCTGCTGCTGCTGCTGCTGCTGCTGCTGCACTGGTGGTGGTTGGATGCGCCCTGCAGGAGGTGTAGCCAGCGGGGCTTTAGGCTGCTGCTGCTGCTGCTGCTTTTGCTGCGGTGGCTGCTGCAGTAGCGGCGGTAATTGCTGCTGCCGCCACTGCTGCTGCACAGGAGGCGCCTGCTTCGGCTGCGCCTGCTGCTGCTGCTGCTGGAAGGGGGCTCGCTGCTGTTGCTGCTGCTGCAGCTGCTGCTGTGGCTGCTGCTGCAGAGGCGGCTTTGGCTGCTGCACGTTTCTTGCAGCTGCTGCAGTAGGTGCTGCTGCTACTCCCGCGGCTGCTGCTGCTGCAGGAGGCGGGCTTCGTGGCTGCTGCTGCTGCTGCTGCTGTTGCTGCTGTGGTGGTGGGCTTTGGTGCCGCGCGAGTCTCTGTTGCTGCAGAACCTGCCCTGGTTGCTGCTGTGCCTTTGGTGCAGGCTGCAGCTGCTGCTGTTGCTGCTGCTGCTGCAGCTGCTGCTGTCGTCTTGGAGGAAAGCTTGCTGCTGCTGCTGCTGCTGCTGCTGGAGGTCCTGCTGCATTTGCGGGATCGGACAGCCGTTGGGGTCCGTTCCCCGCTTCCCTAAGTTGTTGCTGCTGCTGTTGCTGCTGCTGCTGCTGTTGCTGCTGCTGCTGCTGCTCCTTCTCCCTCTTTCTTCGCATTAATTCCTCAAAAGACATGGGGGCATCAAAGTCTCTGCTGCCTGATGCAGCAAAAGATTGAGACACTGGTGCTGCTGCTGCTGCTGCTGCTGCATAACTAGGGGAAGCAGCAGTAACAGCAGCAGAAGAAGCAACAGGAACTGCTGCAGCACCTGCAGCAGCAGCAGTAATAGAATCAAAGACAGGAGACGATGAACGTCCTGCTGGTGTTGACGCCATTCGTGGTGCAGCAGTTCGTTGCTGCTGCTGCTGCTGCTGCAGCGGGGGAGGTGGCGGCTGCTGCAGCGCGTGCTGCAGCTGCTGCAGCAGCCTCCCTTGTGCAGTACTAGGGAGCTTCTTAGGTTGGTTGCTGCGGTGCTGCTGCTGCTGCTGCTGTGGCATCTGCATTTGCTGCTGTGGCATTTGTACTTGCTGCTGCTGCAGTTGCTGCTGCTGTTGCGGCAGCAGTTGCTGCTGCAGCTGTCGCCTCTGCAGCGGCGGAGGCTTTAACCTTCCGTCCCTCGCCAACCCCCCAGCAGCAGCAGCAGCACCAGGAGGAGGGGAGGAGATGGTGACAGCAGCAGCAGCAGACGCAGACACAGGGGCACTTGGGGAGATAAATAACCCCTCAGCAGCAGCAGCAGCAGCAGCAGCATCAGCAGCAGGACCTCCCTTCTTCATACGAGCCTTTAGGGCCTGCAGCCTTAGGCTCCACTCCCCTGATGCAGCACGACCAGGAGCAGCAGAATCCTCCATTTTGCTGCTGCTGCTGCTGCTGCTGCTGCTGCTGTTGCTGCTGCTGTTGCTGTTGCTGCTGCTGTTGTTGTTGTGGCCGCTTCTTGTTATCCTGGAGATGGATGATGCTGCTGTTGCTGCTGCTGCTTCTCCTAGCGGTGGAGGTACGTACTGTTGCTGCTGCTGCTGTTGCGGTTGGGGCCGCTGCTGCTGTTCCTGGCAATGGCTGATGCTGCTGTTCTTCTGTTGCTACTGCTGCTGGATCTGCTGCTGCTACTGCTGCAGGAAATAATGCAGTGGATGGTGCAGAGAAAACAGTTTGGTTACCAAGCTGCTGCTGCTGCAGCACTGCTGCAGCAGCAGCACTGCTGCAGCACTTGCTGCTAATGAACTGCTGCTGCTGCTGCAGCTCGAAGAGAAGAAGACACAGTTGGTACAGCCACAAAAAAAACACAGACAGCTTATTTGCTGCTGCTGCTGCTGCTGTTTCCTTCTGCTGTTTCTTAAGCCCGCTGCTGCTGCGGCTGCAGCCGCAGCCCAGCACAGCCCCAACTGAGGGCCCCCCTAGCAGCAGCAGCAGCAGCAACAGCAGCAGCAGCAGCAGCAGCAGCAACATTGTCCTAATATATTTGTCGATATAAATTCTGCAGTATTAAACATTTTATTTCTTCTTGTCTTCTTTTTTACTTCCATCGTATATCTTGTTGCTGCGTACACAGCTGCTGCAGGAGTAGGATAAAGTGCATACAAGCTACAGAGTCTGTAGCAGCAGCAACAGCAGCAGCAACAGCAGCAGCAGCAGGAGCAGCAGCAGATCGTATCTATGGAGGCGTACAGCCGTGTATCGGGTGGTAGTTTACGCCTTAAAGGGAGTAAAGGAGATTTAAAGGAAATAAAAAGAAGAGAAAAAAAAAAAAGAAAAAAAGAAGCCTTATTAAATAATCCTATAGGAGGTGCAGCAGCAGCAGCAGCAGCAGCAGCAGCAGCAGCAGGAGGAGGAGGAGGAACCGGATCCCCAGGAGATGACCATTTAAAAGAATCAGGATTATGTGCTGAATCTGAATCTGCAGCAGCAGCAGCAGCAGCAGCAGCAGCAGCAGAGATAATAGAAGGAACAGGAAGAATAGTATCATCAGGAGATACAATTCAAGGATTTAATACAAAATTTAGGGAAGAAATAGAAAAAGGAGACACTTTATTATTATTTAATCCCTTAACATTAATTAATGAGCAAGTTATGATTGTATCTGTGGATACAGACAGGACGCTGCATATACACCCCAATTTATCTCAGGATTTTTTATCTACAACTAAATTCTCTATAAAAAAAACAGCAGCTATATATAGAAAAAAGGCAGAAGCAGCAGCAGCAGCAGCAGCAGCAGCTGCAGCAGAAGGTACTAAAACTAAAAATGCAAAAAAAACAAAAGAAAATGATGATAATATAGATCCAGCAGCAGCAGCAGCAGCAGCAGCAGCAGCAGCACAATTAAAATATATGAAGAAAGCAGGTAGATATGTATCTATAAGAGAGAAGAAAGGTATGTGGGGATATAAAATTAAACAAATTAAATTAAATAATGAATTAACTGCTGAGGATAAATTAGATCTAAGATGTAAACAAGGAAGGGATAAATTCTGTTGGTAGCTCCTGCTGCTCCTGCTGCTGCTGCTGCTCCTGCTGCGGCGGCGGCGGCGGCAGCAGCAGCAGCATGTGTTTATATGGTGGGGTTGTAAAATTAAACAAATTAAATTAAATAATGAATTAACTGCTGAGGATAAATTAGATCTAAGATGTAAACAAGGAAGGGATAAATTCTGCTGGTAGCAGCAGCAGCAGCAGCAGCAGCAGCAGCAGCAGCAAATGCAGCAGCAGTAGTGTGTGTTTATATGGTGGGGTTGTAAAATTAAACAAATTAAATTAAATGATGAATTAACAACAGAAGATAAATTAGATCTAAGGTGTAGGCAAGGGAGAGATAAATTCTGCTTGTAGGTGCAGCAGCAGCAGCAGCAGCAGCAGCAGCAGCAGTTGCAACTGCTGCTGCTGCTGCTGCTGCTGCTGCAGCAATTGCTGCTGCTGATGGCATTTATTTTGATGTTAATTGTGTTGCTTGTTCTGGTTGGTGAGGAGTTATAGGTGACTGCTGCTGCTGCTGCAGCAGCAACAGCAACAACAGTAGTAGCAGCAGTAGCAGCAATAGCAGCAACAGCAGCAGCAGCAGCAGCAACAATGTTGCTGCAGCGCTGCTGATGCCTTGTCTTTTGTACTTTTTTTTTGCTGCCCAACCTTTGCAGCAGCAGCAACACACCTCTTAATCTCTATTTGTGTTTTGCTGCTGTCGATGCTGCAGCAGCACAAGCAGCAGCAGCACAAGCAGCAGCAACAACTCCTGCTGCTGCTGCTGCTGCTGCTGCTGCTGCTGCAGTTATAGGTGGTGTCTGTGCTGCATAAGGTAGACGTTTGTCTTTGGGCAAAACTTTATAATAATAATTTTCTTAGAGTTAATGCAGCAGCAACAGCAGCAGCAGCAGCAAGGCTTATTTGCTGCTGGTGCAGTAGTAGCAGCAGCAGCAGCTGCTGTTGCTGCAGTTAGTGACGTAGAGAGGTAGAGGAGAGAGCAGAGTAGACAGGAGAGCAGCAAATTGATAAAAAAAGCAAATAGACATAAAAATAAATAAGAAAAAGAAAAAAAAAAAAAGAATAAATAAATAATAATAGACAAATAAAGAAAATAATAAAATGTTTTATTTTATTAATAAAATAAATAAAATAAATTATTTATTAATTAAAATAAAAAAAGAAATGTTTATTAGAAGGAAAAAAGGAGGAAAAAAAAAAGAGAATAAAGGAGGAGGTGCCTATACACCTGAGATGGTGGTGTACACCTTTACTATAATAAATAAAATAAATAAATAAAATAAATAAATATAAATAAATAAATATAAATAAATAAATATAAATAAATAAAAAGAATATATTATATATATTTATTTATATTTGTATTTATATAAATGGCCTGTTGAGGTGTATATATACCTCTAAACCCTAAACCCTAAAAAAGGGTTTAGACAAAACCCTTATTTAGGGTTTTATAATAATAAATTATTCTTTTTTTTTTTTATAATTAAAAGCCTAAAAAGAACCTTTTATTCAATTAAGAAGGCACCTCCTTCTGCTGCTGTTGCTGTTGTTGTTGCTGCTGCTGCTGCTGCATGCTTTAATCAGCAGCAGCAGCGGCTTCTTGCTGCGCTGCTGCGCTGCGGTGTATAGGCAGCATTAGATGATAAAAAGACAATAAAAGATAATTTTCTGTATTTCTTCTATTAAATATAAAATAAAGATATTCATTTTCTTCTTAATTAGCAGCAGTTCTTTTTTTTTTTTCTTTCCCTCCTGCTGCTGCTGCTGCTGCTGCTGCTGCTGCTGTCGTATAAGGATTAGCTGTATATACACCGCAGCAGCAGCTCGTCGTCACCCTAAGAATCTCTTCTTTTAATCTTCTTATACTCTGTTGCAGTTGCTGCAGCAGCAGACAACAGCAAATTACTGGCAGCAGCAACAGCAGCAAGTGCAGCAGCAACAGCAGCAGCAACAACAATACCAGCAACAGCAGCAACAGCAGCAGCAGCAGCAGCAGCAGCGAGGAGGAGCTCTTTTTGTTCATCGTGTGTCTCTCTCCTCCCTTGTCTGCTCCTACACTGGTTGGTTGGTGGCAGTTAAGGTGTACACACAGCTCGCCACCACCAGCAGCAGCAACAGCAGCAACAGCAGCAGCAACAGCAGCAACAGCAACAGGAGCAGCAACAGCAGCAAGACCATCAGCAGCAACAGCAGCAGGAGGTGCATATTATTTGTATAGACCTTAATAATACCTCATTGTATAGCGAATTTTTTATTCCCTCCCTCTTTATCTGCTGCACTTGCTGCTGCTGGACTTGCTGCTGCTTTATTTGCTGCTGCTGCACTTGTTGCTGCTGCATGCATGCATGCATTAAGATGGAGGTAAATAATAAATTAGTATTATATATAATATCTAATGATGGAGACAGTCTCCTTTCTCCTAATTGTTTCTTATTAAGGGGACAAAAAAAAGGAGTAAACCCTACACTAAAGGATATTATACAACAATTCCCTATACCAGGAAAATACCATTTCAGGTAAACCCTAAACCCTAAACCCTAAACCCTAAACCCTAAACCCTAAACCCTAAACCCTAGAAAAAAATAATAAACCCTAAACCCTAGAAAAAAATAATTAACCATAAACCCTAATATATACTAAACACTAAACACTAAGACATTAAAAAATATTATACAACAATTCCCTATACCAGGTAAACCCTAAACCCTAATAAACCCTAAACCCTAGAAAACCCTAAACCCTAATAAACCCTAAACCCTAAATTATAAAAGATAAAAAATATTAAGGAGTTAAAATGTCTCCTTTTTATTTATGTGTCTCCTTTTTTTCTCCTTTTTGTCTCCTTTTTTTTTTCTTAATAGATTACGTGCAGGTATAGATGAATTGGGGATCGTCTCCCTTGGGGATCGATCCCCACGGGATCGATCCCCACAGTATGTATGGTTAGATATATTAGATGAGCAGCAGCAACTTAATGTCAATAAAGGACCTTTATTTATTAAGGTAAGCTGCTGCTGCTGCTGTTGTTGTTGCTGCTGCTGTTGTTGTTGTTGTTGTTGCTGCTGCTGCTGGCGGTGGTGCTGCTGGTGCTGGTTGTGCTGCTGTTCATGCTCTCCTGCTGCTGCTGCTGCTGCTGCTGCTGCGCTTGCCTCCTTTTGTTGCTATTGTGTCTCCATACAAAATGTAACGGTGCATGCATCTGCTGCTGCAGGCTGTGCGTCTCTCATGGACTGGCGAGGGAGCAGCAGCATCATCGGTACCTTCTGCTGCACCCGTTGCTGCTGATGCTGCTGCTGCACCTACCCACTTCCCTCCAACAGCAGCAGCAACAAGTACCAGCAGCAGCAGCAACGGCAAAATGGACTACTGGGCACAGCCACCGCAGCAGCAGCAGCAGCAGCAGCAGCAGCAAGTGGCCTCCTCAGGTGTACAGGCAGCTACGCCTTCTCATCCAGATATGCTCTTCTTTGATGACCCACCAAACTCTGGTATGCCAATTAGGTCGTGCTGCTGCTGCTGCTGCTGCTGCTGCTGCTCGTGCTGCTGTTGTTGCTGCTCTATCTGCTGCTGCTGCTCTTGCTGCTGCAGCTACTACTAATAAGCAGCTGCGTTGCTGCTGTCTTGTGTTGCTGCAGCACCGCCTGTTACTAAGAGGCAGCACGAAGGGATCGATCTTATGCTATGAAGCAGCAGCAGCAGCAGCAGCAGCTAAACCCTAAACCCTTGCTGCTGCTGCTGCTAAACCCTAAACCCGCTGCTCTGGGGTGTACACTCCCTCCCCTGTTGCGGCGTTTTCTCCCTGCATGCAGCAGCAATGCGAGCAGCAACGTAGCTGCAACAGCTGCTGCACTGTTGCTGCTGCAGCTGTTGCAGCTGCTGCAGTTGCTGCAGCAGCAGCTGCTGCTACATATATAGATTGTTTTTTTTGGCTGTATCCTGCCGCTGCTAGGGTTGCTGCTGCTGCTAATTAAGGGATTGAGGTGTACGTACACCGCAGATTTATTTCTCTTCTTTACTGTCAAGAAAAAATATTCATAAAGAAAAACGTCATTATTTATTTAGCTGTACCCTGTACCCTATACCCCCTATTAAGGGTTATTTATTGGGGGGCCCCTCTTTGTTGTTAGGGGCCCACCTCTTTGTTGTTAGGGGCCCCCTTGTCTGTTGTTAGGGGCCGCCTCCTTGTTGTTGGGGGCCCCCTGGGAACTGTCAGGGGGCCCCCCTCAGGATTGTTGAGGGGTCTAATTGGGAATGTAAGGGGCCCCCTGTATACTGATGGGGGGCCCCCTGGGTACTGTGTGTGGGCCCCTCTTGGTACTGTTAGGGTTCCCGTGGGGACAGTTGGGGGGCCCCTGGGGTCAATTGGGGGGCCCCTGAGGGGGCCCCCTGGCGTCCCCAGGGTGCCTGTGGTTCGTCAAGAAGTAATAGAGGGTTTATACGGGGGCCCCAATGGTCATATAGGGGCCCCTGGGGGCCCCTCCAGTACATTTTATGTTTTTTTAATTGTGGTATAAAGGGCTGTATATACACCAGGAGGAGGGGAGCGCAGCAGCAACTAGCAACAACAGCAGCAGCAACAACAACAAAGTTTGCTGCACAAAATACCCTAAATGCGTCACTCTTAGCAAAAAATAATAAACAAATACCTGCACAAAAGAAAAAAAGAAAAAAAGTAATGCATGCATGCATGCATGTATATATGTATGCATGCATGCATGTATGTACAAGAACAAGGAAGAGGAATTCTGTTACATACACACATGCTGCTGTTGTTGCTGCTGCTGCTGCTGCTGCTGCTGCTGCTGCTGCTGCTGCTTGGGCTTACCTAATAGAGTAGAGATAGCGGACATAATAATAGGGGCCCCTGCCTCCCTTAATGCAAGAAAGGACAAGAGGGGCCCCTTATGTCTTTGTCTATGTATATCTGCTAATAATACCTCTATTGTTGTTGCGGTGGGGTTGCTCAGTAACACACAACTCTCCTTATCCTTACCACAACTTATACATACTTCCTCCTCTCTACCTAGCAGCAATCCATGCTGCTGCTGCTGCTGCTGCTGCTGCTGCTGTTGGTGGTGGTGGTGGAGCCAAGAAGAGGCCGCCAAGACGGACTGTAACGGTACACCCTGCTGCTGCTGCTGCTGCTGCTGCTGCTGCATGCGCGGCGACGGCTGCTGGTGCACACGGAAGTCTCCGGCTGGTGGGAAGTCTGCTGCTGCACTGCTAAGTGGCGGAGTACTCTGCTGCTGCTGCAGTTGCTGCTGCTGCTGCTGCTGTTGCTGCTGCTGGTGGTACTGGTGCTGCTGCACCAATGAGGACAGCAAGGAGAGGGAAGGAAGAGGAGCAGCAGCAAACAGAGGCTCTGTCTTGCGGTGTATGTACACCACAAGTGTTGTATATTCAACTGTTAATGCACTACTAGCAAATAATGCCTAATAACAAAGAAAAGGAGACAAAAAGGAGACAAAAGGGGACATAAGGAGACAAAAGGAGACAAAAGGAGACAAAAGGAGACAGGAGGAGGCAAAAGGAGACACAAGGACACACAGGGAGACAGGATAATATATCTATAATAATATTTAGGTGTATAGGCACCTTCTATAATAGCAACAATAAGACACTCAGTGCATGCACTGCAACAATAGATAGATGGTTAGCTAGCTAGCTAGCTAGCTAGCTACCTAGCTACCTAGCTAGCTAACCATCTATCTATTTAGTTAGTTAGCTAGCTATCTATCTGGCTAACTAGCTAGCTAAGCTAGGTAGCTAGCTAGCTAGTTAGGTAGCTAGCCAGCTAACTAGCTACGTAGCTAGCTAGCTAGGCAGCTAGCTAGCTAAGCTAGGTAGATAGCTAGGTAGCTAGGTAGCTAGCTAGTTAGCTAGCTAGTTGGTAAATAGTGTAGCTAGCTAGCTAGCTAGCTAGCTAGCTGGTTAGCTAGCTAGTGAGTAGGTAGTGTATTACTGACGATAAGAGTAACAACATCAAAGGGGACAGCAAAGAGACCCAATAGACCAGCAACAAAGAGACCCTGCAGCAGCAGCAGCAGCGCAACAACTGCAGCAGCAAGAGGAGAAAGAATTAAACAAAGAAATATAAATATGCATAAAGATATTAATAATAAATGACCAGATAATGCAGGTAATATCCAACTGTCTCTGCAGCAACACATATATACACACAAACCCTAAACCCTAAACCCTAAACCCTAAACCCTAAACCCTAAACCCTAAAACCCTAAACCCTAAACCCTATAAAATATACAAAACATAAATAAGAAACAGATACACCAACATCATCCTCTTCTGCTGCTGCTGCTGCTGTTTAGAGGGTCAATATGGAGGAAGAGAGTTATACGAGTAGCCAATATTCGTCTGCCATCACTAGAGAACTAAAAAAGGGGACAAAAAAAAAGGAGACAAAAAAAAAGACAAAAAAGGAGACAAAAAAGGAGACAATATGAGCATTAAGGGGACAACAAAGGAGACGAGCAGGAGACAAAAAGGAGACAATAAAGGAGACAATAAATTATTATTAATAATAATAACTAATAATTATTATTAATAAATAAATACCTTAATAAGAGAAACATTATAAACAGTAGACATTTATTATTAATATTTTATTTATTTATTTATTTATTTATTTATTCATTTATTTATTTATTTATTTATTTATTTATTTATTTATTTATTTATTTATTTATTTATTTATTTAGTACCTTAATAAAGGAACCATCATAGATAGTAGGAGTAACATTTTGTATCCATGGGGCTTTTTGTTGCGCTTGTGTCTCTGTGTCTCCTGCATGCAATTTGCTGCTGCAGCAAAGTGTATTATGCCCGTTGCTGCACCATCGCCGCAGCTGCAGCGCGAAGGCAGCAAAAGATTGCCAAGGAAATATATACGAATTTATTGATGGACATACAGCAGAAGGAGGGACAAGAACATCATCCGCTGCAGCACAACAGCAGCAGCAGCAGCAGCAACAGCAGCAGCAGCAACAGCAGCAGCAGCAACAGCAGCAGCAACAGCAACAGCAGATGAGGCAGCAGCAACAGGAAACAGATGGGAAACAGCAGGGAGGCGGCAGCGGGAGAAGCAGCCGCAGCAACAGTAAAAGGAGACAAAAAGGAGACAAAAAGGAGACAAAAAAGGAGACAAAAAAGGAGACAAAAAAAAAGGCAAAAAAGGAGACAAAAAAGGAGACAAAAAAGGAGACAGTTGTCTCTTCTTACATGACGCTGTGCCGTTTGTGTGTAACTCTATATCTGATACCCAAGACAGCACGGGACCCTGCAAGCAGCAGCAGCAGCAGCAGCAGCAGCAGCAGTAGCAGCACTAGCAGCAGTAGCAGCAGCAGCATGAAACAATAGCCGTTGGCTGCAGCTGCACAACCAGAAGTAGCAGCAGCAACAACAAGAGCAGCAGCAGCGACGGCAGCATTAGCAGCAGGAGTTGCATCCACGTGCTGCAGCAGCTGCTGCTGCTGCTGGTGCTGCTGCTACTGCCACTGCTACTGCTGCTACTGCTGCTGTGCTGCTGTTGCTGCAGCAGCAGCAGCAGCAGCAGCATTGCTTACAGTTGCTTCAGGTAGTTGCATGATATCATTAACAAGTTGATTAATTTTATTTCTTGTTTCTTCCTCATGGAGGTGTACAGACACCGTAGGCTCTATAACAAGGTGCAGCGGGAGTGCTGCTGCTCCCCCCCATTGCTGCTGCTGCTGCAGTCCCCCTAAGAAACCCCGCAGCAGCGAGGCAGCAGGGAGGTACCGCAGCAAATTAAACTCAGGCTGCAGCAGCTGCAGACCTGTGTATGTCTTTATAGAGAATAAACATAACATTATTACCAATAACACTCTGCAGCAGCAGCAGCAACAGCAGCAGCAACAGCAGCAGCAATGGTAGTAGTAGCAGCAGCAGCAGCAGCACAAGGAACGCCCATAAGCGGTGCCGTCAATAGAGGGACAGCAAATGGGGATAAGGTGCAGCTGCACAACTGCCTCTAGCAGCACCAGCTGTAGCAGCACCAGTACCTGCAGCAACAACAACAGCAGCAGCAGCAGAAGCAGCAGCAGCAGGGTACCTGTAAGTTTTATGACAAAGAAGTCTCCCCCAAGGAGACACACGCATCTCTGCAAGAGAACGACGGAGCTGCTGAGACACCCGAGCAGCTGTACACCGCAGCGCGCATAGTTGTCTCTGTCTCCTTGCTGCTGCTCATCGTTAATCTGCTGCTGTTGTCTCCTATATAAACACTTGCGCTGCCACCGCATGGCGATAGCTGATTGTCCTGCTGCTGCGGCTGCTGCTGCTGCTGCTGCTGCTGCAGTTCTTGGTCTTTGTTATGAACACCGTTAGGGAGGGAACCAAGCCCATTTAGCAGCTGAGGTTGCTGCTCGTGCTGCTGCTGCTGCTGCTGCTGTTGCTGTTGGTGTCCCTCTGATCCTCTGCTGCCGCTGTTGCTGCTGCTACTGCTGCTGCTGCTGCTGCTGCTAAGGGGGTGGCTGTCTTCTGCGGCGAACGAAGAAGTCGGCTGCTCCCTGCTGGCAGTCTTTGAAGGAGAAGCAGCATTAGATCGTGCTGCAGCAGCAGCAGCAGCAGCAGCAGCAGCAGCAGCAGCGTTGCCCCGAACAGAATCTTCGAGTTCGTCGTAGAGCTGCAGGCGGTGCTCCTGACTCTGCTCCTGCTGCTCCTGCTGCTGCTGCTGCTGCTGCTTCTGCTGCAGCTGCTGCTCCGTGTCAGTTCTTCCTGCCCTCGAGTCCTCGGAGTCAGTAGTCGTAGACACAGCAGGAGCAACAGCAGCAGCAGGTGCAGCAGCAGCTGCTGCTGCAGGAGGAGCAGCACGAAGAGAAGGTCTGCTGCTGCGCTGCATCGGTGAGTCGGAGACAGGTAGAGGCAGCAAATGGGGACAATAAAGGATAAGGAGTAAGGGACAGAAAAAGGAGACAAAAAAGAAAAGAAGAGAAAGGAGACAGCAAGCAGCAGCAAAACAATAAGAGGAGACAGCAGGGAGATCAAATGTCCCCATAACAACAAGGCAGCAAACTCCTGCTGCAGTTGTTATGCTGCTGCTGCATATACACTCTATAAGTGTCTCCTCTAGCTGCTGCTGCTGCCTATCTGCCTCATCTACTAGACCCCATGTCCTTCTTCCCTCCCATTGTGTATCATTTGTGCTGCTGCTGCTGCTGCTGGTCTTGCTGCTGTCGCTGCTGTCGCTGCTGCTGCTGCGTCTACTACTGCCACAGTACAATAAATACTCAGCATCGTCTATACCTACTCTGCTGCTGCTGCTGCTGAATACGCTGCGTTGCTGCAGAGATTGACGCAGCAGCAATCGGCCTGTTCGCTGCAGTCGCCTCTTCTGCTGCTGCTGCTGTTGCTGCTGCTGCTGCCGCAGCTGCTTCTGCATAGCAGACACGCGCCCCATTCCTGCCCCCACGCAGCGCAGCGTGTGTGCTGCCTGGTGTACAGACAGCCCCAGCAGCAAGTGCAGCACGAGCAGCAGCAGCGGCGTCACGGGGACCCGCAGCACCAGGTGACACAGCACCAGACCCCCAGCAGCAGCAAAAGCAGCAAGACACACAACTGCCCCCAGCAGCAGCGCCTTCTTGCGCAGAGGGAAGGAAGGTAAATCAGGTGCCGTGAGGTGTAGAGACACCGCAAAGTGCAGCAGCAGCAGCGGCACCGTCAGCAGCAGCAGATGCACCTCCCCATTAACAAGAGACAGGGCCTCATCTGCTTCAAGGGACTCATTATGCACCCATACATCCCAGTCACCAGCAGCAGCACTTGGAGCTGCTGCTGCTGCTGCTGCTGCTGCTCCAGTAGCAGCAGCAGCAGGTGCTGCAGCAGGTGCAGCAGGAGGAGCAGCAACTGGCTGCCTGTGCAACACCTGATGGCCTGAGGGTTTCTCATCTTGTGCAGCTGCATGCTGCTGCTGGTGCATCAGTGTCTCTTGCTGCTGTTCATGCTGCAGCATCCGCAACTGCTGCTGCTGCTGCTGCTGCTGCTGCGGCTGGTCTCTCCGACGTCTGTGTCGCTGCTGCTGCTGCTGTTTATAGTTACGAATAAAGGAGACAACCTGTCTCTCCCATCCCCTCCTTACCTGAGGAGACTGTCTCCTTGTATCTACCTCATAGGTAAACAGCAGAGCGTCTGCCTTCCTTATACGGAAGTCCATCACAGAGGTAGCCCCTTCGCTGCTGCTGCTGCTGCTGCTGCTGCTGCTGTTGCTGCTGCTGCTGGTGAGGGCAGCAACAGAGGAGGCAGGAGGTGAGAAACGAAGAGACAAAGGAGAATAAAAAGATGTAGGAAGATAAGCAGCAGCAAGATGCAACAAAGTAACACCCCCTGTACTAACACCTAAGGAGACACATACAAGGGAGACACACAAAAGGAGACAATATATATATATATATAT